GTTTAATTTTAGAAGCTACTGAGTATTGTTAAAATGTGTCCTCTTCAACTTGATTCTTACTTTATTATGATCCCCAGGGTTTTTTAGGGCCTTGATACATTTACAATATTTCCTTCCCATAATACAAAGACTACTAAATATTTTCTAAGGCCAGTTTTTCCTTTTCTTCATAGTCCAATGACATCACCAATGACTTCCTAAGTGTCTAATATTCTCTTTCTCTCCTGCAGGCCAGAGTGGTGCAGGAAATAACTGGGCCAAGGGCCACTACACGGAGGGTGCTGAGCTGGTGGACTCCGTCCTGGATGTAGTGAGGAAGGAGTCTGAAAGCTGTGACTGTCTCCAGGGCTTCCAGCTGACCCACTCACTGGGGGGAGGCACTGGCTCAGGCATGGGGACCCTGCTCATCAGCAAGATCCGAGAGGAGTACCCAGACCGCATCATGAACACCTTCAGTGTCATGCCCTCACCCAAGGTCTCTGACACTGTGGTGGAGCCCTATAATGCCACCCTCTCTGTGCACCAGCTGGTAGAGAACACAGATGAAACCTATTGCATTGACAACGAGGCCCTGTATGACATCTGCTTCCGCACCCTCAAGCTGACCACACCCACATATGGCGACCTCAACCACCTGGTGTCAGCCACCATGAGTGGGGTGACCACCTGCCTGCGTTTCCCAGGCCAGCTGAATGCAGATCTGCGCAAGCTGGCTGTGAACATGGTGCCCTTCCCACGCCTGCACTTCTTCATGCCAGGCTTCGCACCTCTGACCAGCAGGGGCAGCCAGCAGTACAGAGCCCTGACAGTGCCTGAGCTCACTCAGCAGATGTTCGACTCCAAGAATATGATGGCCGCCTGTGACCCGCGCCATGGCCGCTACCTGACCGTGGCCGCCATCTTCCGGGGCCGCATGTCCATGAAGGAGGTGGATGAGCAGATGCTCAACGTGCAGAACAAGAACAGCAGCTACTTCGTGGAGTGGATCCCCAACAACGTGAAGACGGCCGTGTGTGACATCCCCCCTCGAGGCCTCAAGATGTCAGCCACCTTCATTGGCAACAGCACTGCCATCCAGGAGCTGTTTAAGCGCATCTCGGAGCAGTTCACTGCCATGTTCCGGCGCAAGGCCTTCCTGCACTGGTACACGGGTGAAGGCATGGACGAGATGGAGTTCACCGAGGCTGAGAGCAACATGAATGACCTGGTGTCTGAATACCAGCAGTACCAGGATGC